AATCCATCAATCTTTTCATAATCTGTGAAAGAAATCAGCACACATGTGTGTAGATGATTGTCAGTTGGACGCCATCATAAGAACGCTTATCTAGTTGAAAGTTGCTAGTCCTGTTAACATATTAAGTCCCAGGTTAAATGTATTTTCGGCACAAAATTTCATTTTTGTATATTATAATTTAATGAAGTTAATTTCATTTCGTTGAAAATTATTCATTTAAATCATAAATACATATTTTTTTAATGCATTTAATGAGAAATATAAAATGTAACTAAAATAAATCTTATTTCGTAGACAGTGTCTGGCAAACTCCGTGCATGGTAACGCTATGGCCAGTACTTATCCTGTAAGGGGAGATCACTGCGTGGGAGATTGCGTGTCTGGTAGCTTTTGATAGCTTTAGAATAAGTCACGTGATATAAACAAGTTCGCTCACGTGATACGAATACGTTATTTTTAGTTTTTTTGTATTCCTACGCCTAAGTAGATATATTATTCATATTTACACTACATTTTAGTTTTCTTCAGGTACTGCAGTGAATATAATACGTTGTTTAATCATAATTGGAACAAAACTGTAATCAAATACATCCATATTGAAGATTTTGGTAAATATTTAGGAACTTGTTTTTTCTGAGTTGTCAGTTTGGTATTAAGAACGACATGGATAGTGAAAGACGGTCTGTTAAATCTGGGGGCACTGCCCCCAAAAACCATAAATCTGCCTTGCCTAATATTAGAGTTATTTTCCTTTGTTCATTTTTACACTGTGAGAATCATTAAGAAGTAGTTTCTCTGTGTCTAATACCTGTTCATGGAGCATCACCCGGTTCAACCGGCTCTTGTGGTTGTTTAATTGTAAATGGTGTATTGTTTATAATTCACAACGAAAAGGATGATAAAATAAATATTATTAATTGAATGATCGTGATAATCTTATTTGTTACCCAGCTAACAGCATGAACACTAGTAGTTGTAATGAGATATTTTTTCCCCCCTACCAAGTGCCACTGGTAGTTACATGACAGCTGGGACAGATATCAAACTGGCATTAAATCATATTAATTTATTAAAATGAAAAAATAAACACTGTTTTTAGCTCACCAAAGCCGAAGGCTCAGGGTGAGCTATTAGTATCAAAGGGAGATGCTCCGTCGTCCGTCCTCTGTCGTCCGTCGTCATGTGTCAACAATCATCTTCTTCTCTGAAACTACTTAGCAGATTTACTTCAAATTTGTTCTGTAGCATCCTTGTGACAGTCACACTTGAATTTGCTCATGTCATACCGATTGGTTCCTTTTAGGGGTCAGCAGAGCTAAAAATAGAAAACCTTTAAACATCTTCTACAGAAGTAATTGATGGATGATCACCAAACTTTGTCTGTAGCATTCATGGGTACTCTTTTATCAAGTTTGCTTATATTAATTTGATTAGCCCCTTTTAGGGGCCACTTAAGCTAAAAATAGAAAAAACCTTCAAACATCATTTCCTACTGAAATAATTGATAGTTGATCATCAAATTTTGTAGCAGTTTTAGGTAGTCTTTTATCAAGTTTGCTCATATTTGATTAACGCCAGGTCATGGCATCTCTTCAAATTATTGTTTAAAAATATTTATGCTCAAATTTAATATTAGAATATATTGACATTCCAACACTGAAAAGCAGTTGTTTCTGGTGAGTGACTCAGGGCCATCATGGCCCTCTTGTTTGACACTGTTTTGACACTAATTTTAAATTAGCGATGACAATATTTTATTTATAAAGCAAATAGTATGCGGTTTGAAGCATAGGAAAGAGAATTCAATTGTGATGGAAATGGTACGAGGGATTTTTGTTTGCATAACCAGGGGCTCTATTATCTCTAATTATCTAAATGGATATGGAGAAAAAAGTTGCATAAAATATTTGAAATTACGTTATATTTGTTTGGAACAAGTTAGAAAATTCTGAGACACAGTTACCTAGATATTATGATCATGTATATATTGCATAATTTGATGAAAAAATTGCAAAAAAATGACTTTAATATACCCATTGAAAATAATTACATAAATGTTCAAAATCACGTAGTTTTAAAGTCATTTTTTTTCAGAAAAAATACTTTGTATCAACATCAAGGACATTTAATGCATAAATTTACTGTTAAAAACAATTTCCTCACAAAACAGTTTGTTTAAAAAGCAATTCATTGAAAACAACCCAGATGACTAGACCAATCTGTAAAAGTTAAAAAAAAAAAGGTTTAGAGAAACTAAATCTTTTTAAAAGCCCGAAACATTTTCGGGTGTTCTATGATTGTATGAACTGAAAAATGTTGAACCAAATGATGGAAAATTAAAGTGAGTGAGTATTGGGATGACAAGGTTTATATAGACATTCATAGGAGCTGGGGGGCATGATTGTTATAGATTTATGAAAGTGAAAGTATGTAATTATTAAGTCTTATTGTATGTAACTTCAATGCACGGAGTTTAACTATTTGATAATATGTAACATGGCCTGGAATTATACAAAACTGATATCAAACATGCCCCATTGGTCAAAATTGGCCCCACCCTTTGGGTAACTTAATATATATAGACATGTATGTGACTGGTGTTTATGGTCACTCATTTGAATACTAATTAATAGATAACAAACTTCATAATATGGATACACCTTGATGAGGCCTACCTACCAAGCCTATTTTCAGGTCTAAAGGTCAAGATTACTGGGACCTGATACATCAAAAAACATTCAATGGGCCATACAATGATAGAACATATACCTAGGGACATCCAACTTCAAACATTGATGAGTTTTCCTCCAATCACAAAAACAATATTTGCCATTAAATGAAATTGCTTTGTTTGCAAATGCATCTATCTTCCAAACCCATTGTCAAGTCAAAATTATAATGGGTAAGGTCATTCAAACCTTCTATATCAAAATATGCAATTGGCCATTAAATTAAAGTGCACATACCTAGTGACTTCAAAATGTTAATATGGATACACTTAGATGTGATCTACCTTCCACATCCATTTTCAGGTCAAAAGGTCAAGGGCACTTGAATATATTTTTCTTGCTTATAGATTGTTGACAAAACATTCTCTGTGAAACAAACAAAAATACTTCAACAGTATATGAGGTCATGCAATTCCCACTCATGCAAAAAGGGATGTTCTGATCACAAATTGAAAAAGTCAAGCAATACTTGCTTAAGATTTACTGTATAAGTGGTTAATTTTGTGACGTGGAAATATTTGCGAATTGCGATTATTCGCAAACATTTGATCGAGCAAAAATTATTTCTGTTTATGGCAAACTATCTTTTATTTTAGTTTTAAAACAAATTTTATCAAGCATCTTACATGGATAAGTTTAACTGTTTAGATTTCTTAAATTGTTTTTATTGCTTGTTTGGTTAAGTTTGTTATTTACAAATCAAAATTTTGTAATGTAACAATTATATGTGTCAATAACACAATAGGCTATTAATATAACAAAAGAATATTTTAGAATAGTATAAATAATTGTGCCTTCAGGTCGTTTATCGAACAATAATGTTTTTTTCAAAACAATTAAAACAAACATATCAAACAAACAACTGAATGAATGAAACGATAACAATAAAGGCGAACTCATATTCTTTACCTGCGTAATTTCTGATATCACAAACAACAGTATTAGATAATTCAAGAAATCATATTTTCGCAAATATTTTTGCACACAAAAAGTCCACTTTTGGTCATTCGCAAAGTTTTTGTGACTTTAACAGTAATTTACTGGATGGGGCTTTCATCTGACACAGTTGGAGTTTAACTGATAAAACAGTACATACAAATTACTGCCTAATTTTTAGCTCACCTGAGCAATGCTCAGGGTGAGCTATTGTGATGGCCCTGTGTCCGTCATGCGTCACAGTGTGTCATGCGTCGTCAACTTTTGAACATACAACATCTCCTCTGCAACCAGTGACTGCACATCAACATGATCCTTGGGTGGTCCCCTTTTAAATTTGTTCAAATGGTTCCAGTCTGTTGCATATGTAGGTCATGGGGCCAGAAAAAGATTTCAAAAAACACACATGGGCCAGAGCTTTGATAGTTGGTATATGGTATCATCTATAGGTCCTCTCCCAAAGTTGTTCAAATTCAATGGCCCCCTTGTTTTCTTCACAAACCACCAGATGTTTTGAAACCACGTGTCTCGATAATTTTTATGTGTCTCTGATGCAGTATGCACATCTAACTTAATCACTGCATGTGCCTTGATGACTTCTACCTTTCACAACCATTTTCAGGTCAAAATATCAGAGGTCAAGGTCACTGGTACTTGTTATAGCAAGAACTTAAACTTGCCTGAAATGAAAATGCAAATGCCTAGTAACTTCAAGCTTCTTATATGAATTTACCTTGCACACCCATTTTCAGTTCATAAAGTCAGATGTCAAGGTCACTGCCACCTTGTATGTTGAAATCTAAAATTGGCCATAAAATAACATTGCATATAACTAGGGACTTCAAACTTTATGAGTGGATGCATAGTGATGGGTTCTACCTCCCTTACTCATTTGAGGTCATAAGGTCAAGGTCAGTAGTGTAAATAATGTGCTTTTACTATCAAGCACTGAGAAACGTGGAGGGTCCTGCTCCTTAGCCCTTTTGCTCTGAATGTGTACAATTAATAGATTCCCCCTCTGACCCTATATTTGACATGTGTTCTTATGTTAACAAATTCAATAATCTGATAAACTACAATTCTCAGAGCTTTTTTAATTAGCATTGCCTAGTTGACCTTTACAGAAGTTTTATTAATCATGTACCTAAAGTCAAAAATTTCTTCACCCTTGTGGTAACACATAATCATATGAATAATCAAGATAAAACATTTTCCAGTTAATTTTCTTGTCCGGGTCTGCATTATTTTTGATTACTTAATACAAATCTACTTTCTGGCATATATTGCGCCACCTTTGTAGTGCTCTTGTTTCACAAATGCAATCTTGTTCTACAGGGTATCCTTCTGTGTGGCATGGTGACCTAGACCTGATCTTGGGCTCTGAAGTACCTATCACTGTTGCAGAAGAAGAGGATGAAGAGATTTGTGAAGGAAATAAGTCATCATTTGAAGTTAAGCTGTCTCATGAATTTCCAGCTAAATACAGGGATCAGCTGATTGCACAGACAATTGTGTTTTCATTCCTGGAGAAAAAAGAGAAAACAACTTATGAAAACTACCTTATTCCAAGTATTGGTATTGCTAAAGATCAGTTTGTGATCTTTTTATATGACAGTGAACATGATATATTGCTTGAAAGTAAAGTAATAAAGCTGTGGGCTCCAACAGGCAGACTCTATCAGTCTGCATTGTTAGCTCTTTGGCTAGGTATTAATTATAGTTTAACGTGCTCTGGAGTAACAGAACACATGAAGAGTTGTGGTTTTACTTCAGACTTTCCCAAACATGTAAGTAAACAACTGAGTACATATCAGAAATGTTTAACTTTTGAATGTGGTCATGGAAGTGAAGTTAGGGAGATGTTTGAGCCAGAACTTCATCCCATTATCAATGCTCATTAGATTAGGTTATTTCAGTCTTTTCTCACAATAAGTGAGAAAGTTTAAATTTGCAGCCTGCTCAGCAAATGTCAAGGGGACCCTTGGATGAAATAATATATTTCGTGACTAAGGGAACATGCATTTTTGATCTCAGCACTTTGCTGTCAGAGGTTATCTGAAAAGGATATTTTATTGTATAATACCAGTAATAGTGCATAACCAACAAAATTAGCTTATTGTCCCCTGCCTTTTCGAAGAAAAAAGGGGGATATAGTAAAAGGCTCTGTCCGTCTGTCCGTACAAACACAGAGATACTTGTGTGACTAGAAGAACAATAAGTAACGGTATATTTTCTTTGATCCTATTCATTCAGTTTTTACTTGTGTGTCTTTTTTAGGGCTTGTGACTAAAAAGATCAAAAGGAAAGTCACATAAGTACCATTTTGTAAGTATGTACATCTGTCAGTCCGTCCATCCATCACACTTTTGTGTCAGGTCCATAACTTTGTCATTTATCAAAGGCATTTGAAATAACTTGGCACAAATGTTTGTTACAATAAGACGATGTGTCATGTTGATAAACCAGACCCATTCCTCCAAGGTCAAGGTCCCACTTACTCATTCAAGATCAACATTGTCTATTTGAGGGTATTTGCCATGTCCGTTCCATAACTTTTTTCATTAATCAAAGGATTTTCATATACTTGACACAAATAGTCACAATAATAAGACGATATGTCATGCGCAACTCCTGCATCCCTACTCCAAGGTCAAGGTCACATGTAGAGGTCAAAGATTAAAATAGTCTGTTATAGGGTTTATTTTATGTTCGGTCTATTATACTTCTCCATGGATCAAAGGACTTTGTAAATATTTTTGGAAGAAAAAAGGGTGATGAAGAAATGGACTCCATCTGTTTTACCCATCAAAGAATTTTGAAATAACTTAGGTAAAATGTTCTGTTTAGGCATAGTAGGACAAATATGTAGAAAAGCCAGCTCATCAGCTGGGAAGAAAATTGGACCTGATTTTCACATCTGATAACATACAGTGCACTAGTACAGTAATTCCAATTTCTTACACTGACCATTTCCTCACTATTTCATCTGTTTCCTAAATGATTTGTTTTTATTTTGTATCTGTCACATTTTGTTGTTTTGAAATATTGATAACAACCACATAAATGTATTTCTATTGACACATACATAGGAGTTTTCATTTTATTTCATTATTAAGTAATTTATTTTTGCTTTAGCAGATCTAGCTTTGATCAAAATTTTGGACTTAAACTCTGTTTTTAAATTCTTTTATCATTTTGTTGAAATACTGTTGTTACAATATTTACATATGATACAAATTAAAAATGTGCTCATAAGATTATTTTATTGTGTAAAGTAAATGTAAAATGTAGTTTTTTTCAAAGGGTTGCTTTCAGATTATATGAAGTTGTAGGAGATAATAAAATATAAATAATAAAAACAACATGATAGAATATATTTAAACTTTGCATGATCATTGAAAATGATTACAAAAACATTCTGAATAAAATAAGAATTAGGGGTCAGCCTTTTTTGGCTCACCAGAGCCGAAGGCTCAGGGTGAGCTATTAGTATCAAAGGGGGATGCTCCATTGTCATGCGTCAACAATCGTCTTCTTCTCTGAAACTACCTAGCAGATTTACTTCAAATTTGGTCTGTAGCATCCTTGTGACAGTCACACTTGAATTTGCACATGTCATTCCGATTGGCCCCTTTTAGGGGACAGCAGAGCTAAAAATAGAAAAAATCTTTAGATATCTTCTTCTACAGAAGTAATTGATGGATGATCACCAAACTTTGTCTGTAGCATTCTTGGGTAGTCTTTTATCAAGTTTGCTCATATGAATTTGATTGGCCCTTTTTAGGGGCCGCTCAAGCTAAAAATAGAAATACCTTTAAATGTCTTTTTCTACAGAATTAATTGATGGATGATCACCAAACTTTGTCTGTAGCATTCTTGGGAAGTGTTTTATCAAATATGCTCATATGAATTTGATTGGCCTCTTTAAGGGGCCGCAAAAGCTAAAAATAGAAAAACCTTTAAACATCTATTTCTACTGATCTAATTGATGGATGATCACCAAACTTTGTCTTTAGCGTTCTTAGGTAGTCTTTTATCAAGTTTGCTAATATTTTTTTGATTGGCCCCTTTTAGGGGTTCCTAGGGCTAAAAATAGAAAAACCCCTAAACATCTTCTCCTACAGAATTAATTGGTGGATGATCACCAAATTTTGTTGGTAGCATTCTCGGGTAGTGTTTTATTCAGTTTGCTCATGTTAATTTGATTGGCCCCTTTTAGGGGTCTCTATAGCTAAAAATATAAAAACCTTTAGATATCTTCTTCTACAGAAGTAATTGATGGATGATCACCAAACTTTGTCTGTAGCATTCTTGGGTAGTCTTTTATCAAGTTTGCTCATATGAATTTGATTGGCCCTTGTAAGGGGCCGCTCAAGCTAAAAATAGAAATACCTTTAAATGTCTTTTTCTACAGAATTAATTGATGGATGATCACCAGACTTTGTCTGTAGCATTCTTGGGTAGTCTTTTATCAAGTTTGCTCATGTTAATTTGATTAGCCCCTTTTAGGGGTCTCTATAGCTAAAAATAGAAAAACCTTTAGATATCTTCTTCTACAGAAGTAATTGATGGATGATCACCAAACTTTGTCTGTAGCATTCTTGGGTAGTCTTTTATCAAGTTTGCTCATATTATTTTGATTGGCCCCTTTTTGGGGTCTCTAGGGCTAAAAATAGAAAAACCTTTAAACATCTTCTGCTAAAGAACTAATTGATGGATGATCACCAAACTTTGTCTGTAGCATTCTCTGGTAGTGTTTTATCAAATTTGCTCATATGAATTTGATTGGGTCCCTTTTAGGGGCCGCTAAAGCTAAAAATAGAAAAACCTTTAAACGTCTATTTCTACTGAACTAATTGATGGATGACTACCAAACTTTGTCTTTAGCGTTCTTAGGTAGTCTTTTATCAAGTTTGCTAATATTTTTTTGATTGGCCCCTTTTAGGGGTTCCTAGGGCTAAAAATAGAAAAACCTTTAAACATCTTCTCCTACAGAATTAATTGGTGGATGATCACCAAATTTTGTTGGTAGCATTCTCGGGTAGTGTTTTATTCAGTTTGCTCATATTAATTTGAGGGGCCACTAAAGCTAAAAATAGAAATACCATAAAATGTCTATTTCTAGATAACTAATTGATGGATGATCACCAAACTTTGTCTGTAGCATTCTTGGGTAGTCTTTTATCAAAATTGCTAATATTATTTTGATTGGCCCCTTTTAGGGGCCGCTTAAGCTAAAAATAGAAATACCTTTAAATGTCTTTTTCTACAGAATAAAGGATGGATGATCACCAAACTTTGTCTGTAGCATTCTTGGGTAATCTTTTATCAAGTTTGCTCATGTTAATTTGATTGGCCCCTTTTAGGGGTCTCTATAGCTAAAAATAGAAAAACCTTTAGATATCTTCTTCTACAGAACTAATTGATGGATGATCACCAAACTTTGTCTGTAGCATTCTTGGGTAGTCTTTTATCAAGTTTGCTCATATGAATTTGATTGGCCCCTTTTAGGGGCCGCTTAAGCTAAAAATAGAAATACCTTTAAATGTCTATTTCTACAGAACTAATAGATGGATGATCACCAAACTGAGTCTGTTGCATTGTTGGGTAGTCTTTTATCAAGTTTGCTCATATTATTTTGATTGGCCCCTTTTAGGGGCCTCTAAAATTAAAAAAAGATATATGTTTAAACGTCTATTATGGGAATTGTGCATGACCCCTTATGGTTTTGGAGTCACTAGGGCAAAGGTCAAGGTCAAATTGACCTTGTATGTCAAAACTGTTTCTGATCAATAACTTGACAGCCTATGGGCCCATGGCCTTCAGTAGATGACAATATTGATTTTAAGCATAAGGGGTCAAAAGTCAAGATCACATTGACCTGGTATGTAAAAGTTGTTTCCAACCAATAACTCAACAACCGATAGGCCTTGAGCCCTCAAACTTGACAGGTGTGTTGATCTTGGCCAGTAGATGACCCTATTTATTTTTGGGTCAAGAGGCCAAAGGTCACAGTCACTTTGACCTTATATATCAAAACACTGTCCAAACAATAACTCAACAACTCTTAGGCCATCGGCCCTCAAACTTGATAGGTGCGCTGATTTTAGCCAGTAAAAGATCCTGATAAATTTTGGGGTCACAGGGTCAAAGGTCAAACTCCCATTGACCTTCTATGTCAGACAGTTTCTGACTAATAAATCAACAATTCATTGGTCCTTTGGCTCTCAAACTTTAACTGTGCATTTACCTTGGCCAGTAAATTGCCCTTATAGATTTTGGGGTCAAAGATCAAGGATTACATTGACCATGTATGCCAAAATGATTCAGACCAATAGCTTGACAACCCAGTGGCCCAAGCTCTGAAACTGCATATTGACAGTTTATTAAAGCATGTATAACATTACTGATATCATCAAAGTTTTCCACAGCCTTTGCCATTTAAGTCCAAAAAACTCCTATTTTCTCACCAAAAAGTACACTGGAGCTCACATATAATGAACATGCTTATAATGAAAAAAGGTAATAATGAAGGGAAAAATATTCCCCAACTTTCACTCTTCTTTATTTATATCTTTTGTCACATGCTTAAAGGGAATTTGGATACAACGAAAAATGGTTATAGCAAAGAAATTTAAAAACTAATGATGCATATTTTAACATAAATCAGTTTTAATTTTGCGATTTTATTTTTCACATTTTTATCAAACAGGCATCAGATAATTGATGTTGGCGGTTAATTACTGTTACCAGTTATACATGAAAATAATTGCATGATTTGTTATTACATATTTACCTGTAAAAAGTTCTATAATGTGCAAAAAAATGTTGAAACTATTAGTTTGTGAAGAATAAGAACAGTCCCATAAAAATTGATACTGATTTCCATGTTTTGTGTATTTTTTATGATATAAATGCTGGTATTGATGCTTTCAAAGTATCATAATACTTCCTGCATAATTAAAAACTGATAATGATGAAAAAACTACTGAAAAATAGGGTAGTATTCATGGTAAAGATACCGTTAAATATTACCAATGAAAAATATAAATAAAAATAAACACCCCTTGTATTAACAATGCACTGGTCCAGATGAGTATTCTAAACAAAGGTCAAACAATGTGATAGTTTGGCATCATCTATATAGTCTTTTTTGATGATATTTAGTGATATTGTTCAAAAAATGGATAGAGCAATGACACTTAAAGCTATCACCAAGACAGAAAATTTAAAATTCTTTATCAAGTCTTGAAAGGTTTGAATATATTTCTTGAATAGCTTGACAAAATGTTTATGAAATTAAATAATGATCATGTTTTTATCATTGTGTATGTTGATAACAATATTGTAAATATTGACTAAACATAGCAACATGTACTTTGTGTTTTTTTTTCAATGTAAATGATCCAAATGTTTTAACATGACATACAGTTGAATCAGTTGTATAAATGACCATTACAAAATATGTAATATCCACACACTAACCAAAATTTTATCGTATGGATATAAAAGAAATTTCGGATATGACAAAGAAATTTTCTATGTCCTTTGAAAGTTGTAAAAGCATGTTTCACTGTAATCATATTTCTCTTTTTTGCATATGTAACATTGAATGCAACTTTTGACATGCTGATGAAGGGGGCATACATGTTTTACAAACATTTCTTGCTTCTTTTCATAAGTATGTTTTTGCAGGAAATCATTGAGGTTATTAAGGACAATCTAGTTTTATTTTATCATGTTAATTATGTATGACAAAGCTCTTCCTGAAGATGTAATTCCAGAGCAAAGTAATAGACATAATTTTAATGAGTAATTTTTACAAGCATTTAACAAACATGTGGTGAAGAATATCAGTCTATTATTTTTTCTGAGGCCTGTGTTTTATTTACAACATTGATGCCATACCTCCATCATAGAATGTGAAAGGGGTGATACTGGACTCACTTTTTTGTCTGCCTTGTGATCATAATCTGATTTAGTAGAATTTATTACTTTGCTAAATAGATGTGTTTAATATTGGACCTTTGATATTTGTTTGTCATAATTGTCAAAGAAAGTTGGCTAGCACTTTATTTTCAATAACTATAATTTTGTAAGGATTTATTTTATTACGGTTGTATCAAGAGTTGTTATTCTAACAAGATTTTACCCCAAGTTTTGTCTTTGATGCGATTGATCAAATTGCTGTCTTTATGTTGGATTTTACATTTGTAAAGGCAGTCTAAAACTCATTGTAACAGTTAAACTGAAGTCAGACTATAGTCAGCACAAATATCATTATAAAATGAATAGTGCATGTGCAAAAAAATTTTAAATTCAAAAAAGAAAGTGTCTTGTTTTGAAAATGATAGGCCCTTTAACTGAATGTTAAGTTTTTGTTAAAAATATGTACACATGTTTTTACTTTGAAATGTTTTTAAAGTTATTGTTTCTAGACATTATTTGTCAAATATTGTTAAATCTGTGACATTTTTTATTTGTTATGCGACCAAAAGGTAGGTGGCATATAGTGATTCACCTGTGTATGTGTGTGTATATTATATAAATTATTAAGTGAACTTAAAAAAATACCCTGGTGTCAAAAGTTGCTACGCCCATGGGGGTCATGTGTTTTCCTTAAATGTAAATAGTAAAAGGGGCCTACATGGCAGAGTGGTTAAGGTCATTGACTTCAAATCACTTGCCTCTCACCATTGTTGGTTCGAGCCGCGTCAGCAACACCAGATTTTTCAAGTGAGAAAGCTATCCAGCTAGCTTACGGAATGTTAGTGGTTCTACTTAAGTGCCAGTTTGTACCTGAAATAATGTACAAAGGGGCACCTAAGGTCTTCCTCCACCATTATATTTATAAAGTAAAAATTATAAAAAGAAGAACCAGAAGGCCTAGTATAAAGATAATAAGGCATTGTCCTATGGACCTCTACAAAGATTGTTCAAATTAAAGTCCTGGGGTTAAAATTGGTCCAGCCTTGAGGGGTCATATGTTTTCCTTATATAATAATATATATAGTAAAAAAAAATTGTCTGCTTGAAAATATCAAGGGGTAGAACTAGGATATTTCTCATGAAACATCGTCATGTAGACCTATGCCAAGATTGTTCACATTATGGCAGTGGGGTCAAAATTGGCCTAGCTCCTGGGGGTAAAAGGTTTTCAGGATTTACATATGGTAACAATTTAAACCCTCCCAGGGTAAATTATTTTCCTGATATGTATATAAAAACTTGTTCATTATTTGATATATAAAGCGGATATAGAATTGATGTCTTACACCATTTGACTTACATTTTGACCTAGTGACCTCATTTTTTTTAAATTTAAATACAGCTATGACATCTGGACATCTGACTCTTCATTGTGATTGTGGTACTACATAGTGCATGATATTTGTGACAATTGATTTTAATTAATAATGCAGTGGCATAGCATTTTTGTAATAATGCAATCTTGTTTGAACTTTTTTTACACCAAATGAATTTTGCCTTTTAGCTCACCTTAGCACTGTGTGCTGAGAAGTGAGTTTGTGTGATAGAATGATGCCTGTTGTCTTTTCTTTATCCACGCCTCCTTATTTTCTTTATAATACATGGGGCTTCACTTTACCAACTTTATCCCAAAAAATGATCGTTAGGTTACCTTCTTCAACAGTTTGTATGGTTCCAGCCTGATGCAGAGAGTATATTACAGTAACTGAAAGTTAAATTGATTTTTCTTAAAATGATCCAAGAATCTACAGTGCAAATCTCTTATAATACTCTACAGCATATAAATGAATCATGCTATAAAGGTCAAAACAGGCCTCTGTGAAAGTCAATAATTTCACAAAGAAATGCACATGTATTTAATTTTTCTTGAGTAATTACATGATCCACTACATACAAGTTCTGTAAGTCATGCTCCTGGGAATAAAAATTTACAAGGCCCAAACATGACGAAATTTTTTTTCTCCATTAAAGAATTATGAACTTTCCGAACTAAAGATCTCAGGTAAGCGTTCTATAGCCATCATAGCCTTCTGATTACTTTATGATATTTATATTGAAAGACACACAGGTTTGTGCTTATTATCTCCATTTTTTTGGAGCTTATTGGTTTGTTATCTCTTTCTGGTATACTCTTTATGTCAGTGTTTATACATGTATTTAAAAATGTATTTTTCATACTTTTTAGGTCATTTTTGAAAAGGAGATTCAAGGTTTCTATTATTCTAGACATGTGTTGTACCAAGGTTTCTATTGTTCTAGACATGTGTTGTACTTAAAGATATACTAGGCTCATATTTGATATTTGAAATTAGTGATAATTGCTACACAGTCTCTTTGTAAATGTAAAATAAACATGTTTTGAGTACACACAGACTACATATGTTATATTTTGACCTCTACACGCTGTAGGTAAATACAGAATGAATACACAGTGTGGTTAAAAAGACTGGCAGTTTTTTTAATAAATGATAAACTTTACTTGACCCGTTATACGGAATGCAGGTTTCAGTACACTTTTTGTGTGTTCTTTTATTCAAATTAGACATTCAGTATGAATACCATAGATTTCAATAAATTTCTGCAACAAAAATATTTCACTCAAAGATGAGCCTTGTACATCTTTAAATTATTCTGTAAGTTTTCATGTATATAGTAATCCATATGTAAAGTTATCTTGTAGCTATGGGTTTCCCCCATTTCAAATCCTATGTCATTTTAATCATAGATTGCTTTTGAATATAAATGATATAAAAGTAATGTTTTGTTGTTTTATATAGACCAAAATTGGAAAGGAGAATACATATTTTGTTCCAATTAATATCTTAAAGTGTCAAGTATTTTCTTCATAGTTTTAGCTGACCTGAACACCACCTGCTTATGGTGAGCAGCTGTGATCCTTCCTCTTTTGTCCGTCATCAGTCTTGTGCATCATCAAAAATTCCATAAAAACATCTCCTTTGAAATCAATGACCCTGTATTGACCAAACTACACAGGAATTATCATTTGGTAGCCCCCTATCAAAGTTGTTAAATGGGTTTGGTCGGTTAAATAAGTAGGTAATAGGGATAAAGGTTGGGATCTAAAATGCAAATTTCAATAATATTCTTTTCTGAAAGTAAAAGGCCCAGAGCTTTTGATATGTAGTTTATAACGTCCTCTACAAGTCCTCTACCGAAACATATTAGATTGTGTTTCATGAATCAAAATGGGATTCACCTCTAGGGGTCCTACGTATTTCCTTACATGTATATTGTAAGAACCTTAAAATCTTCTCTTAAATCAATAGGGCTGTACATGTAACTTAGATATTTAGCATGAAACAATCCATAATGAACCTTTATAAAGATTGTACAGATTATAGCCCTAGGGTCAAAATTGGCTATGTCATGAGGTGACTGGTTTTCCTTGTATACAAATAGTTCATATTAAAAAATCCTCAAAGACCAAAAGGGCTAGAGAATTTCGCATGAGGCATTTCTAAGTAGTAGTGAACCTCTACAAAACATGTTCAAATAATATCGTATCCCACCTCTGGTAATATACCTTATCATAATAGCGATGGTGAACTTAAAAAAAAATCTTCCTTAAAACACAAGTCATACTTCAACCAAACTTGATAGGATTATTTCACGGGCGAAGGGTTTCTAAAGTTGTTCAAATAATCTGACTTTATACAGAAATCTGGTTGCCATGGCAACCAAAAGGAATATTAGTAAAAATCTTTTTCCAAGGCCCAGAGCCAATTTATTTTGCACATGGCATTATTTTATGGACCTCTATCAAGATTTTCAAATTAAATTTCTCGGGTCAAAATTGGCTAAACTTGACAGTGAAAAAATTTAGTATAATGACACTTTATAGGCATGAGGTAAGAAAAGCTATCTTTTTCTTAGCTTTAACAAAAACCATCACAACCTCTGATGATTTGCAATTCATTTTCTCTAAAAATATTATTATCAATCCTTAGATTTATTAGTAGAAAATAAGTAACATTCCATAAACATAAAATATTTACATAAAAATATAAGTGATTCTATCAGCAGTCTCAATTGTAAATATCGTAGCTATAACATGGAAGGGACCAGTTTCAGTGACCCTAAGTATAGTTTGACTATAATAATTTTGAGTATTGAAAGAGACTTATTTTAACTTGAGATTCTTGATAAGTTACCTTTTTTTCTTTATATGAGACCAACCAACAGCAAAATATCTATAAATAAATATTTATCACACATTAACCAAACTACCCCTTATTTAGCTCACAGATACTGAAATGGCCCCGTTTCAGTGACCCCTATTTAATTTCTAACATTACTAAATATCACTACTAAACATAAGCTTTAACAATGATAAGAAATGGGGCACATTGATTAGGATGGTCACAGAAATAGAAATTGTATAAATAAATAGGGGGTGGGGTATAATAAAATTGATGCAAAATCAAATAAAGCTTCAAATTTTCAGTAAAAAGTTGGTTTTCATTAATAGATATTCTTTGAACAGTGTATCTTAAAGTTTTAAGATAAGACATACTAATTTCAACAAAATTCAGTGGTAAGAAAATACTTGAACCTTCTTGGATTTCCTATTTTGGACGGGAAAATGTAAGGGGTATATGTATTTGAACTTCATTGTTTACTGATAGTTTTGTGTTTATCAACTCAAGCGATCAATATGCAAGGAGAAAATAGATTGATTAATATAGGAAGCAGAACGGCAATGCTAATTTTAGCTTCTGTTTAGAGAATTAAGTAATATTTTGTTGGTGATAAAAAGTGGGATTTCAAGGAAAAATAGTATGTCACATACACAAAAAGTATTTTCTGACTATTTTTCTCAAAGCTGAATCAAGGTACTATGTTGAAATAAACAGTCCCACCATGAAAAACTCTTTGAGACACTACTTTTTAAAGTGGCAGCAGTTTTTAAAAAGATCACTGAAACTGGGCGGTCACTGAAACGAGGCATCCTACGATATATAATCTTTGTTTAATTTATAGTTCATAAGATACTGATTTATCTATACTTTATCTCTAAATGCTTTGTCGTCTGTACAAGTATGCTTTGACGATGTATTTAGCTAGTGTTCTAGATTTGTTATTCATCAAAAAAACTAATATTTCTGAATCAGTCTTTGAGTTAAAATCATTTGTTTTATAAAGTTCACCAACGTTTTCAGAACGTACATATCTATAAAATTTGCTACAAACTGTTCCTCGTTTTCGACACACTGATCGGTACAAAATCTAGTCTCTCTCAATGTAACGTCCTGTCTCAACGCGTATGGCAGAATGCCTCACCTTAACTGGGTTCGTTTCTTTTCATACTCAAAGTGACATATTTTTCAGTCTTAAACTCTGTTTTGAATTAAGTATAAGTTCTTAGTTTTAGAGTGCGCAAGGTCAAGATTTATAACCATTTTGTTGTTGTAGTACTCAGCTAAACCGATTAAGATAGTATTTCTTTCAGATCACTACACCAATTATTTGAACATAAACTATAATCCGTTTCAAATATTTTCCTTGTAAGACGATTCATTGAATGAAAGAAGTCTATTCCAGTAACGGATAATATTAATCCACCGTCTATAGTTTCCTCATCTCCCGTTATGACAAGAACATGTGCAAAACGGTGAACACCCAAATAATACCTGATTGCCCGGTGTTGCACATTTTCTAAAGGTATCCCCAAACGCCAGAGCAATAATCTAATATTGGTACTAAACACGAATTATACAGTTTTTCCAAAAGTTATAACTGATAGATTTTAATGGGTGAATTTTTGAGATTATCTTTCCGAGTGCTCTCCCTGCAGCTTTTCCGAGAGTGTCTGCATTACGTGAGAAATTTTCATTACTGCTGAATACTAAGCCAACACACTTATAAATCTGAACATTTTCAAGCACGTAATTTCCTATTCTAAAGTCATGTGTAGTTTGCGACGCTCTCCCTTTCCGGAAAGGAACAAATTTAGATTTTTCACTGTTTATCAGGACGCACCACCGCTTACACCAATCATGAAGCGTATTTAATAGTTTTTGAAGGTCGGTTTCTTTTTTTTTTCTCCTATCTCGTAACCAATGTTAAAATCCTCAATTTCTTTCACGAAATCATTGATGAAAACGGAACATATTGTCGGTGACATATTATCTCCCTGCTTTGCTCCGGAATTGTAGTCAAACCATTCAGTAAGCTTCCCCATGGTTATGTTTTTATTTAGAGACTCGTTCAGATTGTATAACGGATCGTCCATAATGTTTTCTAAAAGCAGTTTTGTACTTTTGCGCAAAGTGTTCTGAGTTAAAATCCGTACTGTATAGATTTTTCAGCATTCGGAACACCTCGCCGATTACCAATAATCATCTCGGACATAATATGTATTGAAAGTAGATCAACACGTGATGTAAACAAACATGTAGTTTAATGTGTAACGATGTAATTATTTGACATCCATTGTAAAATAAAGTGTAATTGATAACATTATGACTGAATTGTATGTCTGACAGTTCGAATTTATGTTATTATGTCAACTGACACATATTTTTAACTAAATATGTAATATCATAGACAGGTAAACATTGTGTACATTCGGTTTCTTGGAACATATGTATCATCATGTAAAAAGTGTATTATTTACTTTATATTTATTAATTTACATAATATAAGTTGACATTTATGTAATATCATGAAAAAAGTTAGTCAACATATCACAACATCTATTTACTATTTGTTTACATGTTTAAATTTTATAGCGTAGGTCGGACCGTAATACCGCTTCCGATCCGTGTATTCATACTATTGTGTTCGAGGTCTTTATCCGGAGATTGACGGAAAGGGCCGAGTAGTTGCGATTGAGATTTTCAGTCTTTTCTCCACAATTCAAGAACCAGTCTTTCTTCACATAAAACTTTCCCATTATAATCCATTATTTCTTCTGGAATTATTTTATTCGATCTTGGACCAACTTTGTTGATTTTGTCCCAGATTTCCGTGGGGTTCATGGTCGACATTTGGCACAATGTCGTCTGCAAATGACTTCCTATAAAAGTGCTCCGTGTCACGTAGTGTTTTATCAAATTTGTCTCTGGCTGAAATATTCCCTTCTTAATGCTGTTTTCACACTTCTAGAGTTTTTACATTTAAAGAATAGTTTCTATTTTGCATTTAAATCGTTCCATAGTTCGATAATTCTTCACTCCAATATGGCTTTTTATTGTTAAACCTTTCGCTGTTTGCTGTTGAGTTATAGTTCAGTTTCTGCTAAAATACTGTTACACAGATTATCATAAATCTGGTCAATGTCTGACTGGTTTTCTCTGCTATTTTCTATTTGTGAGATTATTGCCAATCTTCCTTAATCACTGACCATGAAATTCCCGGGAATTTTATTCAGTGTTTATCGTGGGCGTCTGATCTTTTGAACTGTGGTACATAATAGTATTTTAATGCTTTTATATCCATACTGGTCTTAACATGTATATAATCTCTTATTACTAAATGTGTGTAATTACATTTTCGTGTAATGCTGTATTCCTTATATTAATTTACCTTGTACTGTATGTCATAACCATGCTTTCATATATATGTTTTATTCTATGTATTCATTATAATATTCGTCCATAATCGGCGTGAATAGCTCATTGATAGATCCTTACTATGACCTTTACTTTAAATAACAATAGATTTACCCACAAACATTGCCATGTGTTCTTTTGTTCAAAAGTAGGTTGTGGTGAAATTCCTATTGTAATCCACTA